AAGAACTAAAGAACAAAGAGGCCCAGTATAAAGTGAGTATGATGCCGACCTTGAGGAGAATCTGGTAGAGAGAGTGAAGGAGTGAAGGAATCAATGAGTGAGTGAGTGTGTGCTTGTGTGGGTGCGTTTGAGTGAGTGTGAGTGTTTGTCAGGTAGTATGCATGCATATGTACCTGCTTGTTTTTTCTTTTGTGCATCCATAATGATCTATACTACTCTATACATTATTAATTAGAAAGAGGCTCATCATCAGAAGCTAATGACTTCCTCTTTGCAACAGCTTCAAGAAGACAAGATCAGAGCCTTGCAAGAGAAGGTGGAACTGAGTGAACAGAAACTGGCACAGTATGCCAAGTTGCCAGACGTTGAACAAGAATTGAAGCAACGCATGGAGGCTCTTCACCAGGTAAGGAGCATTCATAGACAGGTTGATAACATGTTTTTCTTGAATCATACATATTACTTCTCTTTAGAGTAAGCTGTGATTACTCATTTTATCTCATTTTAACAGGGTGTGCCAAAGAGCCCTATCTTGTACCTTTTGAAAGAAAAAAATCTTTTTGGACTGATGTTGTGTTGTTCATTGTTGTTTGCTGGATGTTATTTGTTATTGATTTCATTAATATCCTCAACGCCATTACTATTATTATTACTATCGTTGTTATTGTTATCATTATTATTATCATTATACATTATTAATTTTGTTTTTGATTTTATTATTAGAAGTAGTATTAGTAAAAGTAGTTATGTAATTATTGTTATTTTCATTATGAAAGTTCTGGTATGCTTTTTAATTGTTTTTTATGCATTTATTTTTTATTTATTCTTTTTTTTTCAAACCTTTCCCCTTTTGTACATTGTGTCACCAATGGTACTTAAGCATTGTAGAGTGGTTGCCTTACTGTGTTAGAGATTTTCTACTTTTTTCTTTTAATTTATTTGTTTTTATTACTTTCTCAAGTGTTAAGTGTAGAGAATGATATATGCCATATTCTCTTTCACGTTTATGCCAATTCTATCACTTTTAGATGCAGCGTTTTGAATTATATTCAGGAGTTTTTCAGAAATGTTGCATCACAAATTTCAGGTGTAAAGAATGTTTGAAATTGTTTCTTGGTATGTGTCCTGGACATTTTAAGTATGAAAAATAACTTACTGACAATTCATATAGTTGTAAAGTATTTGATAATCACTGAGCAATGTGATGCCACATAAGTTACTTTTTGTTCTTATGTTGTATTTTTAAAGCAATATTTCTGTACTTTTTTTTATTACTTATTACTATTAAGATTAACCTTTCAGCTACATTCTCTGCTTTTTCCTTTGCTTTCTTCCTATCCCATTTTTGCTTTCTCTATTCTCATCTTTCTTGATTATCCATTTTTCTCTTCTTTCTCATTCTCTTTCTTTTCTTCCTCATCTTCCTCTTCACCTCTCCTCCTCTTCTCCCTCCTCCCTCCTTTCCCTTTCTCTCCTCTTTCCCTCTCCTTCCTTCTTCCTCCCATCTTTCTTCTTCTTCTTCTTCATTCTTTCTTCCTTTCCTTCTCTTCCTCTCCTCCTCCTCCTCCTCTCCTCTCCTCCTCCTCCTCCTTCCTCTTCCCCTTCTTCCCTCTCCTCCTCCTCCTCTCCTCTCCTCCTCCTCCCTCCTCCTCCTTCCCCTCTCCTTCTCCTCCTTCTTCCTCCTCCTCTCCTCTACTCCTCTCTTCCTCCTCCCTCTTCCCCACTCCCTCTCCTCCCACTTCTCCTCCCCTCCTCCTCTCTCCTCCTCCTCCTCTCCTCCTCTCCTCCTTCTCTCTCACCTTTACTCCTCTACTTCTCTCCTTCTTTCTCTTCCTCTTCTTTCTTCTCCTCCTCCTCCTCCTCTCCTCCTCCCTCCTCCTCCTCCTCCTCCTTCCTCCTCCTCCTCCTCCTTCCTCTCCTCCCCCTCCCCTCCTTCCTCCTCTTCCTTTTCCCCCTTCTTTCCTCTCCTCCTTTCCTTCCCCCTTTACTCCTCCTTTCTTTCCTCTTCTCCTTTCTTCCTCCTCCTCCTTCTCCTTTCATCTCTTCATCCTCTTATCCCTCTTACTTTGCTCTTTCAGTCAGAAAAAATAAAGATCACACAGGAGGAATAACCAAATTAAGTGCTGCTTGTCAAAACCACTCACTGTGTTAGAACTTGGCATTTCCATGGTTGTGGAATGTTAAAAGATGACTGACCAGGATAAGGGGCATTATTGGATGCATTAAGGACATCTTTATCAGATTTATGTTAGTAGACCCTATATTGAGATTAACCCCTAAAGGATGGGACAATTCCAGACTTCATACAGGATGCTAAAAAGAGGTTAAACTTTTAGGAAATTAGGAAAATTAAGTTGTAACATGATTTTTGCCTCTTGCATGACATAGACTTAGGCATGACAGTGCCTTTCATTGTATGCTAAGAAAAAAATGTTTAAAAAATGTATGTATATACTGTGATGGTTATGATTGCAATATTTATCTTTAGGGGTTAAGTTTAGGTCAATAGGGGTAACTCATATCAATATATTTCTTTAATTACTTATGTATATCATGATTTATTTATCTTTTTAATTTTCATAGTGAGGGCTACATTTTATTTGCCAATTGCCCTTACATATTAAGGGATTTTTTTTTTTTTTTTTTTTTTTTTTTTTTTTTTTTTTTTTTGATGAATGTGAAACTTACACAATATATATTTTTTTTACCTTTTTTACTTGTAAAATACTTTTTATTCTCCCACCCAGCTTCTAGCAGCAGCACCAACTTACCAGCATGCAGTGTAGATCGAGAAGAGGTCTTCATAGATATATTCATAGATCACCATGTGTTTTGTAATACATTGTGCTTTGGAAAGAGGTCTTAAAGCTAGTACATGAAATAGTTCTATGAAATAGTTCTTGCACTTTTTTCTTTTGAATTTTTATAAAAAAATTGCTAACTTAGTACAGTATCCTTTTTAAATTTATCTTTCCAATTAACCCACTCATGACAGGATATTCCCATGCCATAGCAAGCTACATGCCTTGCTTTATGTAAAGTCAGCCTCCCTAGTGAAAAATTAAAAGCATGGGAAACGTACATTTACCTCACTCAAATGCTCCTGATTGTGGTGAAGTTGTTTTTTAGGAAGTGAGAATAAAAAAAAGGCTCTAAGTCTACTTTCAAGGGGCTGTTTCTCTTCAATGACCCCAGGGAGTACCAAACAAGTAAACAATATGATTAGAAATCATCCAGCATAAGTGAAGTCTTCACCATGATGTCACTCCCTGACAGGAACATATATTTTTAAAGAAGGTGCACCAAATCAGAAAGTTGTAAGAACTTATTTGATGTAGAAAAAATGTCAGAGTCAGGTAGTTCTTTTATTTTAATCAGTCATTGAGGGAAGGACGATAAGATATGTGGTTACTGGGCAAAATAAGTGGTAATATAGTATGATATGATTATTATGAAAGACATTGTGCTGATTCTTGATTACAAAGCAGGGTTGATACTGAAAATATGTGTATTGCAATATTCTAAGCATAATTTTACCTCAGTATTTTGCTTATTAACCCAATAACATTGAGTAAAAAAGTTTGGCAAGTGGACATGATCTTGGGGTTGTTGGCACACATCAACAGTTTCCCTTGTTTGATATGATTTTTAAGAATTTAGATATTTTGAAGAATTATCTTCACCTTAAGTGCTGCTACCTAAAAGTTTTACCATAGAAATGATGCCACAACAATCTGTGAAAACTAGCACCTTCCGATGAGCCGATGGCTCAGGAATGGCTGTGATGTGATGCCACCTGCTACTGTATCCACAAACAGCCATGGCATGTACTTACATGCCACCCATAGACAAAGGGTTAATAGGTAATAGTATTCATATTGGTGTTTGAAGTCAAAAAAAGTGAACATAGCTCTCGCTCCCACAGCCAAAAGTTGAGAGCTCCTAGTCCTAGACCTAGCACTGGGAATGGAGCTCTTTGACCTGTCCTTTTGTTTAATTTCAGAACTAATCCAATTGGTAATTGCCTCCTCCAATCAATAGGTTTTTTGAGAATTCATTCCTCCAAAGATAATCCCAATATATACTGTAGTAATTATTGATCTAAAACCCTGTAGTGATTCACAAATTACCTCTTAACCCCGCCCCCTTGGCATTCTACGCTATTAGGTATCTTACAAATTAGAATGTAGATGCTTGATATATTCAGGGATCATTTAATATCTGATAGTGTAGCTTGTAAAATGAAAATAGTATAGCCATAGTGTAGATGTGATTAGAATATCACAGCTATTTAGAGAAAAATGTAACAAAAATGATTTGCATGTTTTCTTCTTTTTCTAATTTCAGTTTTGTAAATAATGGTAACCCCAGAAGTGATCATATGTTATTATTTTTTTCAGCATATTTCATCATAGAATTTTTTAAAGATTTATCTTTTTTTGTTTGTTTGTGCTTTTATTTGTTATTTCATTTTAGTGATATTTAAAGATTATTTTAACATGGATGCGACAATGAACTGCTTCAAGGAATTTTTGAATAACCCTGTTAAATTGAGGTTATTATAAGTATTGATGATAACTTTGAAATGGTAATATGATAACAAGTGTTCATACAAATAAATGGTTGAAGAATATATGGCTAGGCAAGACAAAGCACTCATTCACATAGAAATAAGTGTTTGAAAATATTTTCTCACACAAATATATGTAGATGCATTTGTTGATGAGCAGACATACACATGTATGCATAAATACACTTGAGCACTTTATGTATACAAATGTACAAATATATAACAAATAGATTATGCATACCACAACACTATAAGAATGGTGTTGTTTATTTTTAAGTGTATTGTTAGTGTTAATTTCCCACTTGTCCTTCTCTACCCCAATTCTCATATCATCCCAGAAGTCCCTTTCGCCACAGGTACAGGAGAAGCACGGAAGTGCTGAGGACCGCATTCAGCGCCTGGAGAACCAGCTTGATGAGAAAGGTGGAGAGCTACACCGTTTGAACCAGCGCCTCAAGATGAATGAGGAGCACAATGCAAGATTGTCTGCCACAGTTGACAAGCTGCTGCAGGGTGAGTTGTGTTTAGTGTAACTTTGAGTGAGGTTAGATTTTTGTCTCTTTCTTTTTTTTCCCCCCTCCACTTTCATTCTTTGGTTTAGAAGGTTGGATATATTTGGATGTTGGTGACATTGGGATATCTTGACATAAATTATATTATTTATAATCACATTATTAGTCTGCTAATGCATTGTCATTTTGTTCTCACTGAAACTGCTTTCATTATGGGTGTTGCCAAAAAATATCAGAATTTGAGGAATGTCACAGAAATGTAGAATTATTTAATTACTAATTTTCCAATTTATAGAATCAAATGAAAGGCTGCAAGTCCACTTAAAAGAGAGGATGCATGCCCTGGAGGAGAAGAATGCACTCACAGCTGAACTAGAGAGAACAAGAAAGATCCTGGAGGACTCTGCTCAAGAAAAGGTAAGTTGCTAAGGAACCCACTTGGTAGAATCTCTTGGTAAATTGTACATCAGTCTTGGGTCATTTTACATAGTTTATTGATATAGTAAGAGTTCATTTCTCCTTTAAATTTTATTAATCTTCATTTGTTCCTCAGAAAAAAAATGTAGCTGTCATAATTTTGTGTGATTATTGATAGATAATAGCTACTCACAAATTTGTCAGAGAAGAAGAGCTTCCTTTTCCCAAAATTACGTAGGGGAGTATCACTTTAGAGCAGTTCTTAGGACCCAGGACTGGATATCTATTTAAGTGGCCACTGCCTGAGCTCACCACACCAAGGGACATATATGTAGTAATTAATCATCATGCAATAGGAACGACTTCAGCAGGAGATGGAAAACCTGAAAAGGGAGATGGAGAACCTCTTCCAGGAAGGACTGGTTCGGTAAGTTCATTCCATGACGTGATACCCAGCTCTTCCCCTGCCCCTTCAAACCCCAAAACCCCTTTTAGCTCTTCTTATTTTTCTTGGCACTTCTCCAGGACTACCCGACTGTACCAATCAGTGCACGCTCTAGCCCAGAGCACTTGTCATTGGTGGGCGTTGAACCCTCCATCTGCACTTCATCTTGGTCTTCTGCTTGCCTGACAGCTTGGAGACGCAGTCTACGACTTCTTCTGTTGTTTTATTATTTCTCTTTTGCCATATTTGTTTGCTTGATGTCATGCCTTTAGACACTTTTTTATTTTTTTACATTCTCTATTTACTACAGAATGAAATATTGAAAGAATTAGCAAGACGGCAACTTGAAGCAGAACAACTGAAGCAACAAATATTGCAGCAAGAGATAGCCTTCAATATTAAACAAACTGAAGCATTAACAAGGTAATAATGCATAGATAGCAATTCTGGAAAGAGAAAAAGAAAATTGATAAGATGAAATTGATACGGAAGAGAAAAAATGATTCAGTACTATCATATAATTTTTAACCCAATCTCAAGTAATTATGAAACTGTTGTTATTTATCTGAATGAAAAATCATGGCTACCCTCAATCCTCCAATAGCAATAATGAGATTTTGGAAAATTTTCATTAGGTTGGACTTCTCAGTTATTTGACTGGTTTAGACAATATCAGGAATGGTAACTTTGTCTTCTTTCTCACCAAAGATAAATGTTCAAGGCATTGGTGTTGATTACATTTCTTTCTTGCTTTATTTCTTTGATTGAAGTTTAGATCTTAAAAACAAGCTTTTTTGTTATCTGTTTTCTTTTTGACTTAGTCTTCCTCCTCCTTTTCCTCCAATTCCTCTTCCTTCTCCTCTTCCTCCCCCCTCCCCCTTCCCTCCCCCTTCCCCTCTCGCTCTCCCTCTCCCTTCTCCCCTCCTCCTCCCTCCTCCTCCCCTCCTTCTCCTCCTCCTCCCTCCTCCTCCTCCTCCTCCTCCTCCTCCTCCTCCTCCTCCTCCTCCTCCTCCTCCTCCTCTCCTCCTCCTCCTCCTCCTCCTCCTTTCCTCCTCCCTCCTTCTCTTCTCTCCTCAACTCCTCCTCCTCTTCTCTTCCTGCTCTAGTCCTCCTCTTCCTCTTCCTCTCCTCTGCTCTTTGTGCTAGTCCTCTCTTCCTCTTACCCTCCTCTTCCTCTCCCTCCTCTTCATCCTTGTTTTTCTCCTCTTCCCCCTCTTTCTCCTCCAACTCTCTTCCTCCTCCACTTCTTTCTCCTCCTCCTCCTTCTCCATCTTCTTTTCCTCCTCCTCCTATTCCCCCCTGCAAGGTCTTCCTTTTTAGGGAAAATGTTATTATTTATTTGTCAAGCAAGATTTTCCATTTATTTCATCTAAGATATTTAAAACCTTGAATAAACACTAAATGTACTTTAAACATCATTATAAAATGTCTTGCTTTGCAGTCCTTGTTTCAGTGCAGATATTTTGGTTGGTGCTGTTATAGAGCCTTTCTTTCATAAGTTAAATGAGAAATGTCTCATGTAATGTTAAAAAAAAAGAGGTTTAGTTATGGAAGATGAAGGAATGACATTTTGATATGACACTAAAATGCATTTCTTCCTTTAGTTTTGTTTTCTACTTCTGTCCTCCCATACCATTCTTTGCCATTGCTGTCTCTCTCATCTTTCTTTCTACTCCTCATACTCTCTCTCTTCTCTTTCCATTTTCTTTTCCCTCCATCTCCCATTGTGTCACATCCTCCGACTCCCTCTCTTTTTCTGTCAAAAAATAAGTACTAAATCCTGTATCAATAAATCAGACTCCCTCCCACCCTCCCTCCCTCCTTCCTGTGTAGTGCTGTGCAGTGGTAATGTGCTGGGCTTGCAATCTTACTGACCTGAGTTCAGTCCCACGTACTACCATTGGATGGTAACCCTGACCATTCCTTGCACACAGGGGGAGATTTAGAAGCAAAATAAAACAGACAGTCAGTCACAGCAAAGAATATCCATTTTAACAAATGGAATTGAAACTAAACTAAAAAAAATCCCTTCCTCCCCTAAAAAAAGCTTTTAAAGAAGATAAAGCTACTATACCTGAATAACAAATCTCAGTTGAATTGAAAAACTTGAACCTGCCATGTAAAAAAGTCAAAAGTAAGAAAATCCAGAAATTTTATTTTTATTTATTTATTATTATTATTATTATTATTTTTTTATCTGATTTAGCCTTCTTACCTTTATAATGCCCTTTACCAGCCTACACTAATTGGATTAACTGCGCATACTAATCAGTTTTGGCTTTTGTACTAAAATGCAGCATAACAATTGGCTGACTAATCAAAGTAGAATAACTTTGTTTGGAAATTACTAAAGTTCTATATATACATATATATACCATAGGGCCGATCCTTTGACATAGGCCATTACAGCATGTAATCAGTTACCACGTCTTTAATTTGTGTGTGTTTGCCCGTGTGTGCGTGCGTGCGTGTGTGTGCGTGCGTGCGCGTGTGTGTGTGCGTGTGCGTGTGCGTGTGTCTGTGTCTGTGTCTGTGTCTGTGTCTGTGTCTGTCTGTCTCTCTGTCTATGCCGTTTTTTTTTTTTTTTTTTTTTTTTTTTTTTTTTTTGAGATTGAGTGAGTGATGAGTGAGTGAGTGAGTGATGAGTGAGTGAGTGAGTGAGTGAGTGAGTGATGAGTGAGTGAGTGATGAGTGAGTGAGTGATGAGTGAGTGAGTGATGAGTGAGTGAGTGAATGAGTGAGTGAATGAGTGAGTGAGTGATGAGTGAGTGAATGAGTGAGAGTGATGAGAGTGAGTGAGTGAGTGAGTGAGTGAGTGAGTGAGTGAGTGAGTGAGTGAGTGAGTGAGTGAGTGAGTGAATGAATGAATGAATGAATGAATGAATGAATGAATGAATGAATGAATGAGAGAGAGAGAGAGAGAGAGAGTAGAGAGAGAGAGAGAGAGAAGAGAGAGAGAGAGAGAGGAGAGAGAGGCAGAGAGGTGCTGGAGCGAGTAGAGAGTGGAGAGAAAGATGAGGAAGAGAGAGAGACGGACAAGTGTGTGTGAAGAGGACAGAGAACGAGAAGGAGGAGCAGAGACGAGAGAAAGAGGAGGAGAGAGACGGCAGTAGAAGGAGAGAAGGGAGCACGAGAGAAAGAGAAAGTTAGAGGAGAGAGAGGAGTGGAAAGAGAAAGGGGTGAGTAGAGAGAGAGAGGAAGTGTGGTGTGAGAGAGAGGAGAAAGAGAGAGAGAGAGGAGAGAGAGGAGAGAGAGAGCAGAGAAGAGAGAGGAGAGAGGAGGGTAGAGAGAGAGAGAGAGAGAGGGAGAATGGAGAGAGGAGCAGGAGTGAAAACTGAGAAAAGTCGAGAGACGCATCAGCACCGCACCCCGCCCGCCGCACAGGGGGTAGGAGAGAGCAGAGGAGAAGAAGACGGAAGAGAGAAGGAGACGGAGAGGAGAGATAGACGAGGAGAGCAGCGCAGAAGTAGAGAGAGGTGAGAGACGATGAGGAGAGAGGAGAGGAGTGAAGGAAGAGTGAGTAAAACGGAGAGAAGAGAAAGTTGTGTGGTGTGTGTGTGCTGTGGTGAGAGAGCAAGATGAGAGAAGAGAGAGAGAGAGAGGAGAGGAGCAGAGAGAAGAGAGAGAGAGAGAGAGAGAGAGAGAGAGAGAGAGAGGAGAGAGAGAGAGAGAGTGAAAAAGAAGAAAGTTAGAGAGAAGAGAGAGGTGAAAGGAGAGAAAGTGAGAGGAGAGAGAGAAGGGAAAAGTGTGTGAAGAGAGAGAGAAGAGGAGAGGAAAGAGGTAGCAGAGGATAAGAGATGAAAGAAGAAGGAGAGGAGAGAGAGAGAGAGAGAGAGGAGGAGGAGAGAGAGAGAGAGGTGAAAGATGAGTTTAGGTGATAGAGACAGAAGGAGGAGAGGTGTGAACAGGAAGGAAGAGAGAAAAAGTGTGAGAGACCAGAGAAGAGACAAGAAAAAAACGATGGAGTCAAAGGAGCAGAAAGTGTGATGTTTGTGGGTGTGGCTTGAGGAGAGACGAAGAGGGAGCAGCAGAGAGAGAGAGAGACTGGACGAGAGG